GGCTAAAACCTGCCTACTCCCCAGAATCTCTGGAGGATTTAATCTCTTGATTTGACAGCAAAAAGATATCAAAATGGAAATTCTTAGCAAAGGTTGAACTGGGGAAGAGGGGGGTACAAAAAAAGGAGGAATCGGAACACAGTGAATGAAGACTTTCTTAAACCATCAGAAAATTTTAGCAAACAGATGCCAAATGACATTTATATAGACTGAGCCTCAAGACATTATAAGACCACAGAAACAAAAGAGACTGGCACAGTTCTCCTGATCCTGGTGACAGCTGTGCCTCTGAGCAGATAAAGGAAACCTTGGGACAGGCATGGCTCACATCTGTAATCCCAGCTACTCAGGAGGCAGAGGCAGAAGGAAAGGATCAGGAGACCAAGACCAGCCCAGGCAAACTTAGCAAGACCATATCTCAAGAAACAAAAATATACACTGCAGGCGTGGCTCAGGTGGTAGATAGAGCACTTGCCTAGCAAGCACAGGGCACTGAGTTCAATCCCCAGTACTACAGAATGAGTGAATGAATGAGCAAATAAATGAATGAGTGAATGAATGAACTAACAAACAAATAAAATAAAGGAAATCTCACATTCATTTCTCGTCTCTCATCCTCTTGTCTTCTCTACACGTCTCTTTCTCCAAAGCAGAGGCTCTGGGAATCCAAGGATCTGGATGCCGCTCCAGCTCATCCCCACGTAAGTTAGGTGAACTTGAGCAATTAATTAACCTCTCTGTGTCTCATTTCCCTTATCTGAAACATGGGAGGTAAAGAATATTTCTGTGGTGCCACTGGGCAGGAATAAGAACACAAATTAACATGATCTATTCAGCCTGCAGAACACATCCTAGCTTAAAATTCCAGAGGTTCTCACTTAGCTGCACAGAGAATTAAGTGGGGAACTTCAAAAACTATCGAAGCCCAGAGAGCACCCCAAGACCATCGGATGTAATTAGTGTGCCATGCAGAAGCATCAGAAATGCTTATTGCTCTCCAGGGGATTCTTAAGAGCACTCCAGGAGGAGAACCACTGCTGGCTGCAGTTTTAGTTAAGTCGCTCATCTACCCCATGATCTCAGTACAATCAGCCCTACCCACAGCATTGTTACAGATAAGGAAACTGCGATTAGGAAAGGACACATTGCTCACGGTGACAAAGCTAGACGTGACGGTGTGTAGGATGCTTCCCAAGACGTTATGTCACCAGCCCTGCTGTGCTATCACCCACTGCAGAGGGTGAAGAAGCATCTAAATTGGTCTCCAGTAGGTGCTGCGTATTTGGGAACAAAATTTGTTCTTTGCTTTTTAGCCTTCTTCCTCTCCATTCTCTGCTTTTCACAATTCCAAGCCCAGGATATCCTACAGGGAGTTCAGTAGGAGTGAGGAGTAGCGAAGATTTATAAATGGAGTCAGGTTATCCAAAAAAACAACAACTTTTCTCTTTGTCTCCACTTTCCTAAAACCTGGCCATAAGCATACACTTGTTTTATGTTTAAAAAAATTTTTTTGAGCCAGGGTCTTACTATGTTGCCATGCTGGTCTGGAACTCCAGGACTCAAGCAATCCTCCTACCTCAGCCTCCCAAGTACAGGTACTACAGATGGGCACCACTGTGCCCAGCTTTAAAACCTTTTAAAATAATTATTACATCTGGGAATGACAACATATGCTTATAATCCTAGGAGTAGTAAGGCTGAGGCAGGAAGATCCTTAGTTCAAGGCTAGCCTAGACTTAGATAGCCCTTTGAGCCCTATCTCAAAAAACAAAACAAAACAAAACCTAATAGGCTGAGTGTGCTGGTGCATACCTGTAGTCCAAGCTACTTGGGAGGCAAAGATTGGGAGGGTTGTGCTTCTAGACAAAAAGTTATTGAGACCGCATTTCAACAAATAAGCCAAGCATGGTGACACATGTCTATAACCCTAGCTACATAGGAGGCATAGATAGGAGAACTGAAAAAACACAAGACCCTATCTGAAAAATATCTAAAGCAAAAAGGGATTGACAGTGTGACTCCAGAGGTAGAGTGCCTGCCTAGCAAGTGCAAAGCCCTGAGTTCAAACCCCAGTACTACCATAAAATAATTACCATATTATAGATACTCTAGTAAAAATCTCAGAAATTCAAGGAGAAATTTTTCTACCATTACCAGTTTAAGTCAATGTGTCATTTGCCTATGTCAACTTCTAGGCCTTATCCGTGACCTACATAGTTTTCATGTCTGCAATATCATCAGGTAGTTATGTATGAAATAGTCTGTTAATATGATACCATGCATATTTTTCCTAGATTCAACTCAAGTAAGTTAAGCCTCTAGCACAGTTCTGTAGATAATGGAGGTAATTTTAGTGTTAACTGTGCTAGAGATATTTTCTTTAAAAAGCTTCTCTCTTAGGAAAAAAAGCTGAGCCTGGTTACTCTGCAAGTTGACATAAAAACTTACAAGCCTGTGAAATGGTGTCAGAGACGTGAGGACAGTCACATGACACGAAGTTTGCTGAATTTGCTGTATGCCCCAACCCCCATGCCTGCAAAAAGAGCTCAAAAATACTTGATATGTGGACAAATAGTACTTTTCTTAGCTCTACAGTGAGGTCATTAAATAGGATTATCTGGGAACAGGGACAGAGGACTCCAAAGTGAAGCCAAGAACAGGGCAGGAGGGACAGACAACTGCAAAGCAGGCAGGAAAGGCAGCCGGAAGCTCGGTGGGAGAGGCCAGCCAAACTTGCTGGGAGGAAACATGTGCTTTCCTGACTTGTACCCGCTCAGCCCCTAAACCTTTGAAGCGTGACATAGTGAACCATGTCAGGGACCCACAGCTAGCCCATCACTTGACATTTTGTGGTTGCTTTTAAAAAGGTCATTTATCTTCTCAGGCTCCTCTCTCCTCGTGCACTGCTCCTGGAAAGGATATAAAGGTGCAGGCAGCTGTAGCAAAAAAGTAATCCCTTGGAGGGATTCTTAAACTGGAGCTCCTTGAGTCTCCACTGGATACCACAGTGGGACTTCAGGCGACTGTGAGCACCTTGAAATTGATGCAAATTGTATGTTTGTGTGACAGGAGAGACCTCAGCTGTGATCAGATTCTCCTGTCTTTTGAATATAGGACCTCTGTCTCCTTCAGCTTCATCAGCTCAGGTGGGCTGTTCTGAACACATCCTTCTTCCATAGGCTGGAGGTGGGGATGAGAGAGAAGATGGACCACAGAGGAACTAACCCTGTGCCAGACCTTCCATTTAGTCAATACATGTGAAAGGCTTAGGTGGTGTCCAGCATATGTATGGACCCACAAAGTTAGCTCTTGCTACTGTTATTACTCTATACCAAGCACTTCTTTTTTTCCCCAGGCTCACAAATCTAGGAGAGGTCACATAAGTCCCATATCCTATTTATGAGGAAATGGAAACTCAGAGAAATTGAGTCACTAGCCCAGGGTCACACAGCTAGTGGTAGCGTTCAGAACTGCCTAATTCCAATGCTTAGACTCTCTCCCCATGCCATGACCTGAATTACTTGGCAGGCTTTCAGTCTGAGGCAGCCTCTCTGCCTCCTCTTCAGGCTTTCGCATCTGAAGAGGGTCCTACCCTCTCCCTGACTCTGTCCATCAAACAGGCACAGCGCCCAAGAATGAACCTCTTCACGCCAAGACATTACTTGTGCTTACATAATTGAGCCCTAGTCATCCCACTCAAATTCCACACTTAAAGCCAGTTTCTGCCCCAGGATATGAAGTGATAATTTAAAACTTAAATCAAAGTTAAATCCCTTGCTTTTTGATGCAGGCAAGTTAAAGCAACAAAGGAAGAAATGTTTTCTAGTAGTCATCAAGAGAGAGGTGAGAAAGCTCTAAACCAAGGCTACTGCTTTCTGGTTTCAAAATTCAAGTTAAAACTTGCAGGTAAGTACCAGCTACCAAAACACCTGTCCATCACGCAAGAATCATGGCAGTTGCATGCCCTGAGTCCATCCTCTGTGCCTGCACTGTACAAGTTACCTCCACCCCTCAAAAGAACCAAGCAAGCAGTGCAGATGTTACTGTTTGGAAAGATAAGCAAGTCCCTCAGTCACACAGACAGTAAAGTAGCAGAACCAGGACTTGAACACAGGCCTATCTGATGACAAAATCAGTGCTGTTAACCACATCTCTCCCACACCCTATCCATACAGTCACTGAGTAGGGTACCCAGGGCCAATGTCACCTCTGGGTTTTCCCTGTGCAGAAAAAAAAAAAAAAAAAAGGTCCTGAAATTGGCCAGCCTCTTGGGAAGCAGAACCATGGAAGGCATGGACAAGATGGACTCTGTAAATAGAAGGTCTGGTTCCAGGTTGAGCTCTGCAACTTGCTGCCTCAGCCACCTTGAGCAGATCACTTAACCTTCCAAGACCCGGATCTCCTCACCTGTACAGAGGAGGTCATTGCTAATGCAACAGGAGCCAAGGCTTAGGTGCTATGCAAATATTAATTACCTGTGCCCCTCCTTAACTCACTAATTCGAGAAAACTAGGTGGTAGACCTTTCTCAGCCTCCTCTTCAGAGTTCTGCCACCAGCAGACTTCTATCACCACCACCTGGTGCCCTCCTCCCTGAGGTGGCTGCTGCTTAATTTCCGCTCTATTTCGGTAGTTCTGTTGCTTCTACAAAGAACTGGTCTCGAATGCTTGGACTCTGGCTACTTTTCTTCTGTCCTTCCGAGTCTGAGCAGCAGTCTCTGGCTGATCTCCGGACCCCGCGCGCACCTCAGGACCAAGCTCTTAGCTGGGCTGCTCTGCACTTGGCAGTGCCAGCGTCCCGCCCTCCGACAGGGGTGTGACCCGAGAGTTTAGAAAGGAGGCGCCTACTGTGAGGAACACCCTGCCGCCCGTGGAGCTTCCTCCGCGGCTCAGCCTCTCCTTCCAGGGCGCGCGGGGAGCGGCCGGGGGCTCCTGTGCGCCCCGGCGCAGCAGCGCTCGCTCTGCCGCAGCCTCCTCTCCATCCTGCTGCGTCCACCCGCCATGAGGTCGCCTTCCTACAGCTGCCACAACACCACCTCAGTAGAGAAGGGCCACTCGGCGACGATGGGCGGGATGCTCTTCAGCGCGGGCCTCCTGGGCAACCTGCTGGCCTTGGGGCTGCTGGCGCACTCAGGGCTGGGTTTCTGCCGGCAGCGCCCACCGCGCCCGCCGCCCTCGGTCTTCTACGTGCTGGTGTGCGGCCTGACAATCTTCGATTTGGTGGGCAAGTGTCTCCTGAGCCCCGTGGTCCTGGTTGCCTACGCGCAAAACCAGACCCTCTCGGGCTTGGCGCCCGCGCCCAACAACTGGCTGTGCCAAGCCTTCGCCTTCACCATGTCTTACTTTGGGCTCGCCTCGACGCTCCAGCTCCTGGCCATGGCGCTGGAGTGCTGGCTTTCCTTAGGACACCCCTTCTTCTACCAACGGCATGTCACCCTGCGCCGGGGCTTGCTGGTGGCGCCGATTGTGGGTGCCTTCTGCCTGGTTTTCTGCGCGCTCCCTTTCGCGGGCTTCGGGAAATACGTGCAGTACTGTCCCGGCACCTGGTGCTTTATCCAGATGGTCCACGAGGAGGGCTCGCTCTCCGTGCTGTGCTACTCTGTGCTCTACTCCAGTCTCATGGCGCTGCTGGTCCTCGCCATCGTGCTGTGCAACCTGGGCGCCATGCGCAACCTCTACGTGATGCACCGGAGACTGCAACGCCACCCGCGCTGCTGTACCAGGGACCGCGCGGAGCCCGGGGCTGGAAAGAAGGAGGCGTCGTCGCATCCCCTGGAGGAGCTGGACCACCTGCTGCTTTTGGCGCTCATGACCGCGCTCTTCGCCTTGTGCTCCCTGCCTTTAATTGTGAGTCGCTCGGGGGGCTACGGGGGTCCGCGGCGCGTGTGGACTCGGGTGCCGGGCGGAAAGGATGGAGACGGGATGCGCATCACGCGCGCGCGAGTTGCTATGTCCCGGACCAGGTGCTTTTATTGCTGCGCTCCCCAAATCAACAAATTGGATAGAACTCAATTTATTGACCGAGAAGAGGGAAAGTCAGGAAAAGGACGAGAAACACAAATCCAGTGGTGTCCCGAGTCCAGTCAAACGCTCTGCGGAGCCCTCCACAGGGTCATTTTTGCGCCTCGGATCGTGGTTTCACCTTGGCAATACGGAACCCCTGCTAGGTAGACGATCTCTGCTATGTTTCAGCTGCTAGATAATGTTTAATTTTGTTAGACCTGCCCGTGATTTTAGTGATTTCCGAAACTGGCGGACGGAATCTGGGGTTCTTCTCCGGGATATTGGCGTGGAAAGGGAGGATTAATTTTGCTGGTACGATTTGCAGAAGTGAGCGACGAAAAACACAGGTTTAATTTCAGAAACTTTGCCAACAAACTTTAGGAGCGGTGGCTGCTGTTTCTGATGCTGCGGCCTCCGTGATGGTGGCAGTAGAGGCTGGGGCAGTTGTAGGTAGGATTCAGCTGGTGGTGTCATTTTGACAATCTGCCTTGACAGCTCTTGTTTCTATCTTGGCAAGTGAGGTGGAACGAAAGCCATTATCTCGGGTTTCAGTTTACTACAGGGACAGTGGCAGAGACTGAATTACCTCTCCGTTTTGAAGGTGTTTTCTCTCATGGGGTCCCAGACACCTGTAAGAGGTTGAGCCTTGAGAAAACTTGCTTCTCCTCTGATCACCCTCCACCCGCAAAGTACCTGTTCAACAAGAACAGCATTTAAATAAATACAGGGCACGGCCAATTGAAAGTCCTGAGCGCCTGACACTTCAGGAATTAGTTCCTCATCACAGTGTAGCAGTTTTGGATGTTACTTTCCATGGTGGATGAAAGAAAGATGCAAAGTGGTTTCCCCTTAAGTGAAGACCTTAATGTGATTGGGGGAGGGGGCGAAGCATAGTCTGTCACACTATTGCACAGAGTTAGGATAAAATAAAGAAAGAAAGAAATCTTTATATAGACAGACATAGATATGTAGCCTTGGTTCTCAAATTTTAGCATTGTCAGAATCATCATCAAGCTTTTAAAAAGATGGCTCGCCCCGTCCCTCAGCGTTTCTGAGTAGGATGTTTTTGAAGAACTTGTATTCTTAACAAGTTTCCAAGTACTGTGGAACCACAGTCTATACCAGGAGATGGCAAACCATGGCCCACAGGCCATACCTAGTCTGCTGGCTGTTTCCTGTATAGCCCTGAAGTTAAAACCAGGCAAGGTGGCTGATAACTATAAGCCAGCTATGCAGGAGACCTTAGGAGGAGGCCACCCTGGAAAAAAGGTAAGACTATCAGAAAAATAACTAAAGTGAAAAGAGGAAGGGTTGGAGGCATGGCTCAAGTGGTAGAGCTCCTACCTAACAAGGGCATGCCCTGAGTTCAAACCCAACTACTGCCAGAGGAAAAAAATATAGTTCTTCCAAGTGGATATTTGCAATCAATTTGATGATAGGGACCCAGAACTGTGAGCCCCAATCAAGCCAAATATTTCAGTTTTTAAAAAGAAGTTTATTCTTCTCCTTAGTAGATGTGTATTTTTAAAATTTGCACTCAGTTGTTATTATTAAATTTTGAATTTCATTGATAAAAATTATGGAAATATGTTTTCTCTCTTATTAGGTTGATATATACCAAATATTCAGGACTTTGTCTCTTGGCCTGTGCAACCTAAAATATTTACTCTCTGGCCCTTACCGAAAACATTTGCATCTCAGTATCCCAAAGTTGGAACCTCACTTACCTGTGCTATGATAAAAGCAGATAGTAACTAAATGCATAAAAATTTGGCCTGAATTTGAATGTTTTAGTAAGAATACTGCAGCAAGCATCATACTACAGTGGGAAGAACATTGCATTTGGACAAGTCTCTCAGGAGATTGGAACAGCGCATAGGTATTGTGAAGATTGAAGGAAAAGTAGAGTTGAAAATTATCTTCTAAAAAAAGTGTAATGTTCCAAATATTATGTGCAGTATAGACAGCATCCTTCACAGGAACCATCATTTTCTAGGAAGGATAAGGTTTTAGTGTCAGGCACAGGTTTAAATCAACCTTCATCACTTACTGAAGGCAGAACAACTTGTTAAAAACAACAAAAACCTACATATATATATATATATATATATATATATATATACATTATTTCATTAAGCCAGTGAAAAGTGTGTTGGAATATGATTTTTTTTTCTCTTTCTTTTTTCCAGAGCTAGGTATTGAACCCAGGGCCTCACACGTGCTAGGCAAGCACTTTACCACTGAGCTACACCCCACCCCCCTTTGAGTATGATTTTTTAGTAACTTCACAATAATGTTGGATTATTGTGATACATAAATAAGATACATAGATTGTTTTCATTTTGCAGTTTGATACAGCAGGAAGAAAAATAGAAAATACAGAATAAGTTTTAGAGGCAGGTCACAGTGCATTCTCTAATGCATACAACACACCTTCATCAAAATTCTTTTGATCTCAGAAAATCACGATGTATTGGAGGTTGGTGGTGGAGCAGAGGTGGGTGGTAGAGATTGTGCATATAGAGATGAGATGTGACCATTGAGTCATTTAAAAGGCAGGTAAATACAAGCTGTGTAACTGTCCTTCTCAGACCCATGGAGACAGAGTGGCAGAGCATATCCAGTGTGCACTGAGCAGCTCCTACATTTAGGTGGGCAGGTGCTGCTCCCAAAGGCCATGGTGTAGACACATGAGGATGGTAGGCAAAAGATGGGCCCAGAGCAAAGAATCTAAAGCAGATTGGAAGAGCTGGAGCAGTGGGTGTGACAAGGGTGTTATGATGAGGAACTGGATAGAAAAGGGCGTCAGAATGAGGAAAAATCTGAGCAGGGATGCCTGGCCAAATCTCCACCTAGTTGGCAACAGAACATTTTTCTCACTGACTCCCAAACCCTTCAGAGGGTGCTCATCTCACACTGGTTCTCTTTTTTCCTTTTAAATTTTGTTTATTAATTGTATAATCGATTTTCATTGTGATATTTCCATATATGCATACAATGTACTTTGATTAAATTCAACCCCTCTGCCACTTGAGCCACGCCTTTAGCCCAATTCACACTTTATGTAAACTGAGCCACCTTTTAAATGCCAGGTGCAGAATGATACACTTGTAATATCAAATCTATTGACTTGATAATACTGATAGTGACTTGATAATTCAGATAACTGAACTGAGGGTGTAGCTCAGTGGTAGAACACTTGCCTAGCATGTGTGAGGTCCTGGGTTCTATCCCCAGTGCTGCAAAAACAAACAAACAAACCCCAGCCAAATACAGTTGACACTGGTAAATACTGCATAGCAATAAACTGCTTTGTTTTAATTATACAAATATTATTCAGATCCCAACTATCAAACATTTTCACATAGTTGGGATTATATTTTTCCACATTCCACCTTGAGGAGAAAGTAGCAAATGTAAAACAAACTCAGATAGAATATTTGTTTTTAAAATTAACTTAAGCTTATGGCTTACTGTGACCCAAGTATCCATTCAGCACGTCTGGTAGCCACCACACTAACACACTATAATTCACTGTAGAGATACAAAGTAAGAAAAACATCACATGTGCCTGCATAAGGCATAAGGGTGTATGTGTGATTAGGGCCATGGGGGAGTTTAGTAGAGAAAAGTAGTCATTCCTAATGGATAAGATATAATACTACCTAATTATCAAGTTCTTATTATATGCTAGAACCTTTTCAAAGGCTTTACTCATAGCATCTCATTCAAACTTGGAGGGTATGCACAACGACCCTCACTGTTAGGATAAGGAAACATTAATTCCGCTGAAGTCACTCTTCCAAACAGGGATTCTAGCTCAGAAAGTTAGACCCTCAAGCTGACCCCTCTTAGCCACTGCCAAAAGAGGCTCCCTAAAGGGAGTAATAGTCTAGGTAGACCCTGGAGTTGTTCCAATCTCCTGAGAGACTTGTCCAAATGCAATGTTCCTAAGAGATTGGAGTGGCCGAGCTCACTGCAGTGCTGCATAGAAAAGTGAAGGATTGAAGGAAAAGCAGAGTTGAAAATGATTTTCTGTTTGGGCACATTTCCATGCCTGTAAATAAGGATAATGATTATATTTATTCACATGATTTTATGTGGATAAAATTATTTTTTAAGTGCTTAGAACTGTCTGTGAATAGCAGGCCATATGTAGGCATTAACTATCATTATTACTGTTGATATTATTAAGCAATAAAGATAGGAGTAGACATCCAGGTAGGAGTAACAGCTGCATCCAGTGTAAGGCATCTTCCTAAGTGCACGAGACTGGAGTGGCTGAGCCCACTGCAGTGCTGCATAGAAAAGGGAGAGGAAAGGCCAGGGAGCCACTCTGGGAAAATGCATCATCTTAGAAGATGCTCCTTGATTGCCTTGAATGGGAGTGCTCTCTGCTCTCAGTCAGCCTCTCCTGCTAGTACCGAGTTTGCCTAGTTTCTGTTCCGTTAGGGTCTATGGTCCTATTATGGCTTTAGACCGTCAGTAGACACAGAGTGCAGTGGGAAAAAGAAAAGGCAGAGTGGGAGCAACAGTGGTGCAGTGGGAGCCAAGTGGCAGGGACCACAATTCAGGTGCTCTGCAGGGCTGCAAGGGGGCTACAGGGACCTCGGGGAAAATCAAGACACAAGGAGGTGACTTACACAGGCAAGTAGGCATCTTTTTTGTATGTACTTCTCTGTCCTCAGCTTAAAAAGAGGATGTCATCCATGGAAAGGTACCAATCTATGAAAATAAGTGGAGCAGTTTATGCGCTCCTTGTGTCTTTTCACTGTCATAGTTCCTGTCCCTTCACATTCTCTCAAAGCTTCTGTTTCATTGGTATCTCCATACTTGTGGCATTTCACAAGTGTGACTTGCTTCTCAGCAAACTAATAAGAGAGACTAGGAAGCAGGCAGAAGGAGGAAGGAACTGAGTAAAGTATGGGTGAAGGGTACCAGCTGGAGAGAGAACTCTAGGTGATGGAAGGGTGGTAACCCATTTGTGAAAGCTTCAGAACCCATCAGGTGGCACAAGGAGCCAGTCAGACCAGTCTCCCACATGCACCTCAGTTCCTCCATCTTTCAGGCTCCTCACTCCTGCCCATCAGCTGCAGTGCCCTTAGCTGCTAATAAATTTACCAAAAATGAGTATTCCAAGCTAAGCCACCATTTCTCACAGAAAGGTAAGTGAAGTAAGCAAATTCATCACTCCGTCAACCTTCAGTATCCATATCTGCACAATGTTTTTCTTCCAAACAGTATCACGCGTACCACGGAGCATTCTCAGCTGTCAGCTATGCCTCTGAAGAACTGGACAGCCTCCAAGCCTTGCGTTTTCTGTCTGTGATTTCAATTGTGGACCCTTGGATTTTCATCATTTTCAGGACTTCAGTATTTCGGATGTTTTTTCACAAGATTTTCATAAGACCTCTTAAGTGTAGAAACTGGCACAGTCATTCCTGCCAAAGTAATATGGAATCCAGTTTGTGACAGAGTTTTACACTCTTTGGTCAGTCGAAGAATATATCACATTTTCAGTCAAAGGATCATCTTAAAATTTAAATCCTTAATAGCTATCTCCCATAACAAAAGTTTCCAAAAATAGTTTCAAAAGTGTTTGACATATCTTAACAATGTGTTGTTGTGCTGTATTCATAAACCATTGTGGTGCATTTTTTTTCATTTTGGGTTATTAACAGCAACTAAAATTTTGTATGTTGCAAATAATGTTCAAAGTCTTACAGAATGATATTAATCACCCCACATTTGTATTTGGTGTTCCCCATTTTTTGAGGTAGATGTAGAGCCATACAGATTTTATTTAAATACAGCAGAAATACCACTGTTTACACTTATGTGATGGGTGTTCTGAAAAATCCATAACAATGTCTTACCCTAGTCATTTCCAGTGAAGCCTGACTTGTTATTTTATATCATAATTGCCCCCACTTAATTATTTTCTTTGCCAATTGGCCTGCGTATAACCTGAGTTATAGATGCTCCTCAGAGAAGGTCAGGCATTTGTGGGGACTTTCCCAGTCACAGCCTGGGGGTACTCAAAGCCTCAGATGGAGATGTACGGCTGTCAGTACATATGAGACAAGACAGGCCTATGGTCCACATCTCAGAAAAGAAAAAAATATCATCCTTTGAAGTCCAGTGTCTTGTGTATTGAAGCAAGGTGTCAGGAGGAATCAATATTTAGGAGTGGGCTACAAAATGTTCTTTCAATTATTGCAACATCCATTTTATAGGCTTTTGTCATATGGAGGGGTTGTGTGGGACAATGATTTATGCATCTTGGAAAAACACTGATGTGTGACTTACCAGAGAGCTGTGTTTACTAAGTTTAGCCATGTGAAACAGCATTCAGCACAGTAGGAAGCCCACCCAGGACTGAGCCTCCATTGACATTGGTGGCGATGACCGTCACGTCTACCTACTGCAGCTGTATCCTGCTCTCTGTGGAGGCAATGCCATGTTACTGAAGCCCTGGCAAGCTATGCTTTCAAAACTGGAGCGGGATGTAGCTCAGAAGGAGCACACCGAGCACTTTAATTGTACATTTAAAAGTTTACAAGGTTCACAACACTACGAAAGAAGAAAGTGGGGAACACTCGCCTGCAGCTGAATCCGAGGCTCTAAACCTGGCTGGCAGCAGAGCTTTGCCTTTGTGAGAGAACAGATGTGGACGTCGAAGGGGGTTCAGCATCTCTGGGGTCCCTTTGCACCCCGACACATTTGGACCCTGAGCCGTAGAGCTGCGACATTCCGGCGACCCCTTCTAAGGACAAGATTATTTGCCTTAGTTCCAGCTTAAGCAACCCAGGTTTGTTTGTTTGTTTGTTTGTTTGTTTGTTTAACCTCGGTTTTTCCAGTATCTTGGAGGATGGTATTAACCTGGTAATATGTATTTTTTTGTATAGCAAAACTGTGAAAAAGTCAAATTAGGACTATAAGAAGTATAATTTGAGAGTATGTCATAATGAAAATGCATTTGGTTTGAAGTTCAGCTGTGTTTGTGTGTTTAATGTGTAAGTACGCCTGGCTTTTTGTCTGAGGAAGTGCATATTTTTGTGCTCTCCTTTGGAAGGTGTGCAATGATAATTGTCCAAATAATTTGATAAAGCCCAGATTAATCAATAAATGTAATTTTATAATATTTTGCAGAGAAAATAATTTTTCTTCAACTAAAAGGCGGCTTTCTTTTGGGAGGGAGTAAAAAATTGCCGGCAATATTTCAGTGTTATACAGTATAATAGTGTGAATTTCTGTATACTGTTCTAGTAGAATTGATATTACCTTAAACACATTCACACAGATTTATTCAAGGGCTTTGTTGTATACATAATGCTGATGAAATCCATATTAAGTTAAAATCAACTATGCAGCAATCTTCATTGATATATTGATTTATGCATTCACTAAAAAATTGACATAGACCTTGTGCCAAGCAGATGGTTGGGAACTGAGGAAAGGAATAGTCCTTCCCAGCAATCGCATGCCATTCACTGGAGATAGGATGGTAAATGGTTGTGATGCCACGTGCAAACTCTCAGTAGTAAATGTCCAAATGCAGTACCGGTGGAAGAGGGAGCTCACACCAGGAGCGACATGCAGTGCCCTCAGGAGAACATCACAGAGAGAAGATGCTTCCGTAAGGCATGGAAAATGAGAAGAAACTTAAAAAGAGATAGATTACATAAGAGGAAACATGTATCATTAAGAAATGTAGAAAAGTGCTGGGTACCGGTAGCTCACACCTGTAATCCTAGCTACTCAGGAAGCAGAGATCAGGAGGATCATGGTTCATTGCCAGACCAGGCAAATAGTTTGCAAGACCCTATTTTGAGAAAATACCCAACACAGAAAAGGACTTGTGGAGTGGCTCAAGGTGTAGGCCCTGAGTTCAAACCCTACTGCCACAAAAAAAAAAAAAAGAAAAAGTATCCTGCCAAACCAAAGAAATGCAAATGTAAAGTCAAATTATCAAGGAACAAACAAAAAATCATGACTCATAAAAATTGGAGCGTTTACTAAAAATGAACATTTATATTCCCTTAGTGAGTATGTAAGTTTCTACACTTTTTCTCCATGGCCACCTGACAGGGCACATCAATAGCCTAAGGTGTCCTATTGTGTCAGTAATTCCACCCCAGAATTCTCTCCTAGAGAATGATTAGAGAAGCTGTTAGCTTCACATAGGAAACTTTTCTTTGTAGCCTTATCCATAATAGCAAAAAACAAAATGACCAGAACAAGAGTTAAACAAATTTTCAGGAATATTTATTTATATATATTTGCACACAAACATACACTCATTAAAATAACTTATAAACATTAAGAAGAAAGCTTACAATGTAATACTAAGTGGAAAATCATGATGCAAGCTATAATAACATATATATAAACATATATACACAAAGGAAATAGTCTTGCAAAAATTAATCAACAAAAGCATGAATCGTGTTACCTTTTTATAGACATTTTTCCCTAATTCTTTGTATTTTCCAAGTTTGAAGGTAATAAGTATGTATTTCTTTTATAGGAAATCAGTTTTTGAAGAAAGATCTATAACTAGACCCAGCGAACAAGGGGAAAGGCCCAAAGGAAGGACTTTGGGGCAAAGGAAAGGCCAGGCAAAGGCACAAGGGAGCAGGAGGAGCACATCCAGCCTTAGTTAGGAGCTCCATCAGGCAGGAGCTTGGGTCCTGGGAACAAACACTGCAAGAGTCTGAAAGTGGTGGGTTTCACATCATAAGAAGTGTTGCGTACAGCATAGGGGGGTTGGAGCTCTATTAGGTCCAGATAACTGCTAAGACTTGAAATGAGGGCACAGTCAGCTGGAGGTGGAGGAAGCTCATGCTGGTGGTATAGACCGTGAATGGAGCAGATGGGAGCAGGGAGGACGGGAGAGGTTTCACCAGGCCCACAACAGTTTCACAGTCCCTGCACTGAACCAGAGCTCCCAGCTAAGGAAGTAAGTGGGCTGAAATACAGTCTGGCTCTGCTCATCCCACTGTGGACCTCACCAACTCAGAGAAAGGGTCTCCTTTTTATGACCTTTGTACTTGGAGTGGGGCACAAAGACTCCATATGTACAGGTCCAAGGATGCCCAGCTTCAAGGGCCCCCCAAAAAGATAAACATGTGGACAAAAGTAATTATTATTCAAAGTAAAATTTAAGGCAGTAAGTTTTCAATGGTTAAAAGCGACTGTCTATAAGATACAACCAGTAGTCAGCACTTCACAGCATTGAATGGTTTTGACCAAATAACAAGACAATAAAAATACAAAGGAAAAAAAACAATCAAAACATAAGAAATAAAAATATCACTCCTGCCATGGACCCCATGGAGTTGCAGGCTGAGAGGAGCTGATTCATGCTGATTCCAGGAAGAGGTGAACTGTGCAGAGCTGACAGAATTCTACCTGTCACCCAGTTGTACCTTGTATTCTTTCAGTGCATTATAATTGACCATTTTAGTTTCTTCATTTCAACATACCCAGGTATGATTTAGGAGAGGGAAACAATTCTGTTTGTCTTCTTGTTTTCCCCCATTCCTAGTTCACCTGAACAGTGGATTGTCGCTACTGATTCAAATGAAATTTTGGGAGATCAGTGGATTTTAATTACACACTAGCCAGCCAGGTTAAGAAAGAACTATTAGGCCTGTGAATTGAGTTCCAAAAAATCCCTCAACTGACTTGTCCAGGTATTCCTGACATTTTAGAAAAGAGAAATCACACACACCCCAACACTCGGATGACCGTAGACACTCACTAACCACGCAGGCCTCTCCATCTCCCCATTGACAGGGTCTGTGTGCTCCTCAAAGCATGGCCCTGGACAAACAGAAGCATCTGGAACTTACTAGAAATGCAAATCCTCCAGCCTCACCTCAGACTTACTGAGTCAGCACCCCTCGGGGTAAGGCCAGCCATGTTGCCTTCTTGGAACAGTGTTCAGTGGCCTTCTCTTGCAGCTTGCTCTTTGGAGTGAGAACAGGATTGCTGGGCTGGGTGTTTCCAGCATGGCCTCCAGGTGGAGCAAAGCTGAGCTCAGAGGGAAGGGATGGTGCTATGATTAGGGATTCCTTTCCCTGCCTTGGCACAGTTGCCTAACTTGGTGAAAGGAACCACCAGGCCTCACTTGTCACCAGCCAGGTGAGCATTCCAGGCTTCCAGACTATCTATTAAAACATCTCTGTGAACACAGGAATCAGTCCAGTCTTGAAAATAGTCATAGCAAGGAATCTAGAATCTGCAGTGCTCTGGTTACCGAGGGTGTGAAATCACAAGGAGAAGAAATCTCGATTTTTCTTTTTTGGTGGTGGGTGCTGTTACTTAAATGTTAAAACCACAAAGGACAATAGAGCACAGTCAGGAAATCTGATAAATATATTTTAAGTTAAGCGCCTAGAGTCTCATGATGATCTTATACTTACAGAAAGCACCTGGAGTCGAATTGAATTATGTGACAAAGTTGA